TGTGCTCTTCCGATCTCCCCAAAACCCCAAAACCCCATGATGTATGTATAATTGTAAATGTTTGATTTTGAAATAGTTTTATTCGTTAATTTTCATAAATTAAAAAATTATCAAGCATGAGTTCGATTGCAGTCGAGTACCCCCAAGAATTATCAACACCCATCGATTTAAACGATGTGCAGATGAGTCTCACATCCCAGGATCACCAAGACTCGTCACTAGAGTTGCAGCAGATGGCTGAACAGTGTGCCAGCACTCTCTAATCCTTCATCCAATATAATTCAGTTGCAGATCCACTCGTAGAGAATGCTCAATTTTAAAACTAAGCTCAATGCTGCAATGAGGACATATCTCTTGAACAGAGAGCCTCTCCCAACAACGATGCGATCGATCATGTTACTATTTCAGTCTCAGAAATATAGTAGCGTGAGGGGGAGAACGTTTAAGGGCAGTCTGTCGAAGAGAGACTGATAGATAAGATAGCGGAATTTGAAGGAAAAGTAGAAGCTCTATAAAGTTTGAAAACCAACCTATATGCTGCTATTGAGTAATTAGAAAACAATGACTCTAATAATACTGACCAATAAAATCTTAGCAGTAAATAAACAGAAGAAAACGACGACATCCAGGTCTCGACTCTGTAATTGAACTTAGCCACACTTAATGAAGAGCAAGAATAGCTCTCAAAGGAACATGACCCTCAACCTTCTCAAACTAATTTAGATCTATAAGAAAATCTGAAAAATATAGATCAAGAATTGGTTGATAGAATTGAATAAAAAGAACAGGAAAATTAATAAGTCTGTCTAGAATAGTAGCAAGAGCAGATTAAGGGAGATCTTGAAACTGCTTCACTCACAGACACATTACTAGAAGAGCCAATCCAAATTACAGATGATGATGATGATGGTGTAGGTCTACTGTAATTAAGCTCCATCGAATGCACTGACAACGACAATTTGCTCAGCGAAGAAAGTATCAAAGTTGATCAAACCTCCCAAGATCAGTAGATATCAAACGAGTCAAAGGCTCAGGAAGGTGAGGTGACAGAGACAGCTGCACATCAGTAACAACGCGCCTAACCCGAATCAGACAGTAAGCTTAAAAAGATTCTTGATGATTTTTTCTCTCAAGTAGAGACAGAAGGAGCATTGAAGGCACAGCAAAAGAAGAGGCAGTTCCAAGCTGGCAAGGAAAAGTAAGCATATACTCATATTCATCATGTTTCAATCGACTATATCTTTCTGTTCATATCTTTATAATTAACTTTAGTGCTCCCACTAACCTAGGATAACAAGACTCTCTTGAGACTCCCAAGAATCATAAAATGTCTGCAGAGGATGAGCAAACGCTTCAGTAATCTCCAGTTAAAAGGAAAAACAACCCTAGAGAGTCATTAGCTCCAACAACTTTAAGAGACGACAACGGCTCAACTCAAGTTTAAACTCCACCCTCTCATCAAGAAAACACTTCTCCTTCCAGTCCATTGAAGCAGGAAATCGCTCCTTAGATTGAAGAAAATCCAACCCATCAAGAGCTCAGATCATAGCATCAAGAAAATGAACCTGAGACTAAGGTGACTGACGAAAACAGTCCAAAGGAGAACAGTAACGGCTCTGATTCAGACTCAAGTGACGATACTAAAAAGAGAACATCACTTTAAAAAGAAAAGGATCAATTAAGAGCTCCATTCTCTGAACTTAATAATGGTGGATAAAAGTATGTAATAGTGCAAATAATAATCTAATTATAGGAAAAGATCATCAGAAACCTTGAAAGAAGGCGAAAAAGAGAAGCCAAAGAAGAACCGCATTGTTGACATCAACAAGACAATCTTCGTTGACTCCTACATATTAAATTACTCCACATTTTACCCAGGAAAATTGCTAGGCTCTACTCTCAATGTGGGCAACTTGAGCAATGCTGAGTAAATTGTTGAACTCTCAATTGACTCGAACAGCTTCCAGTTCAACAGGAAGCAACTTAACACAAAGTTCGGTAACCCTGAGCTCCCATTCTAGCTTGAAGGAGCTGATGCAGACGGCAAGCTGCAAGACACCATAGTAAACTCTGAAATCAAGCATGAGGCTTGGTTTATTGAAAACCCTATCTCTAAGGAGCTAACCAAGAGAATCACTCTAAAGCTTGGACCTAAGGCTGAGCAAGACTTCATCATTGTCGTTAGAAGCCCCAACGCTAAGAGGACTGAAAATCTCGTCTCAATTATAAATATCGGATTGTTGACCTATGCAGATGAACAGTTTGGTGTCAAGGAGAGCTTTGAAGACTTCCTGAAGCTTAATTATAACAGTAGTATGAAAGAATTCTTAAGGGATCGTAAAAAGGTTGCTTAGCAATAGAGAATCGAGATAATGCTTGCTGGCAAAGTAGACGTTCCTAGCCTTGTATGCCAAAAGGAGTTGGTCGTGTCAGAGTTCAGCGAGAGAGTGATTCCACTTGTCGTTAAGAAAGGCCAGTCTTGCCAGAAGTTCAGAATACCGTTTAAGAATAATGGCCCTCAGGAACTAGACGTCGATTTCACTTTCCATAAATAGTCAGCAGTCATTTAAGGGCCACTATAAAGATAAAATTCAAATGGAGACGAGAAGCAGAGATTGCCTCTCACCTAGAGTCCAATTGAGTTTGTTTCAGTACCTTCAAATGTGAAAGTGCCAGCCAACGGCACTGCAATCCTCAATATAGCTGCTAAGTTAAAGAACTCATACTAATTGGCTAGCATCGGCAAAGACTAAAATGGACAATAAACTCCTCCACCTGCTAAGGCTGAGAAATACAATCACTTGCTTATTGCTAAAATAAAAGATACCCAGATAATGTTCAGTTTTATAATTGAAGCATCTGTCCTTGAGGCCAGCAATACACCTAACATGTGAACAAACAGTCAACAATAAAACACCAATAAATCTTATTAGATAATTAAATATTGCTCGCTCCTATTAACTTTATATGAAAATTTCATTTTCTGTATCTTCATATTTGATTCAAAGGAGTTCTTTGGGGTTTTGGGGTTTTGGGGTTTTGGGG